AGGAATTTTTCTTCAAATGTTTGGCGTGTTCTGTTCCTGAAAGATTTACTAATATTCTGGAGATTTTTTTCAAGTTCTTCGGCCTTTTCCTTAGGGAAATTTTGTTTCTTATTTGCTGCTAAAAAATGGCGTCTGATTCAGTCAATGACTTCGATGGAACTAAATGAAAACGTGATAAATTAATGTCCGATATTTACAGGCTCCCGCTAGACGGCGTACTCGAGCGTTGCGATCGCGAATCCTGGATTTAACAATCGAGGAATATATATATTAATTAATGATTGCTATCAAGTATAAAAAGATTTGCGTCATAAAACCTCTTTATTTCGAGAATAACTCTGATTCATCGAGGGGTTTTTCCCAAATTTCTTGAATTTTATTTTATAAAAGCTGTCAAGAAAAAGAATTTGACTGTTTGAGGGAATGTCATTCGCTTCCGTGAGGTTTAAAAACATCCTTTAGTTCAACGATTGTAAGGAGGTAAACAGAGAGATACCATGAAAAGTTTCTCATATGTCTTGCAGTGCCAACTCCCAGAACTATCTGAAGAAGTTGCTGAGCAAACCAATGAATCAATGCTATACCAGCTACATAAATTCTATATCTGTGAGCCTGTTTCTGGCGTTTGTAAAACGGAGAATTTTACAATGATGGGGAAGAAACATTTAACACATCCAGATCAGAATTTTTTTTCGAAGTTACTTTTCTAGAATTAAAAGGTATGAAAAATATATCTCATGCGGGTTCGTGTTACTTGAATCAAACAACTGTCAATGTTCAATCCTGCAAAAAAATACCCCCACCCCCCTCCAAAAAAAACTTAAATGCTATTCTAATCTGTATACAGAAATTATAAATAAATAAGTAATAAACATTAATAGCTTTTCACTGCACATTATGGTTTTTATTTGCACTAATTTCGGCCGACTAGAGCTTAATGAACACCCTAATTTAAAGGGAAACGTTCTCTGCGTTCGCGTTATAAACGAAGTCGACCGTATCTATATTTGCTAGACGGTCTCTAATTCTTCAAATAAAAAACAAAATACAGCCTTTTTTTTATTAAACATGCAATGGAATCTACGTCAATGTAATGCAAGTTGTTATATTTTTATGCAATTGTTTGGAGTAAAAGTTGAAGCAATTAAAGAGTCGTGCATCTTTTCAAGTTTAGATAGATTGCAATTTCTAAGCTTTTTAATCCAACTTGCAAAAAGAAATTTAGATAGAAGTTGAAGGAATTATCAAGCCAGCCATTTTCAGATGTCTTAGACAACAAAAAAATTCTTTCATCATTGAAAAATTATACATGTAGTTCAAAAGAAGTAAAATAAAGTAAATATATTTAATTTATATTTTATTTCTCATAAATAAAATTATTAATTTTTATGTTTTTATCGAAACTGAACAAATGTCGCAAATAGTAGAATATACAAATAGTTAGTACAAAGTATAAATACAAATTCTTCTTCCAGAAAAAGAATCATGGCTAGTCAAATATTTCTTCACCACTAATGATCATTGTAACCCAAGATTATATGGTGCATTCCAGTTTTTGAACAAATTACCGTAGTGTATAAAAGATTTTGAAATCCAAATGAAGTGAGGATATACTGTGAGCTATGAATTTTGGGTTTAGGTATAAATTTTCGGTCTGCTATAAATTTTCTAGATTCTTTTTTTTTCTTTTCTTCCTAACTTTATGTTGTTTAGCTTTATTCAGATAATATAATACTACACAAAATAAGACTGGGTATAGGACAATTTTTCTGAGTAAATCTCTCTCTCTCTGGAGAAAAATTGTAGTTGAATATTATATACACGGTAATAATTTTAAAAAATTTGCAGTCGACTTTTGGGACTGTTTTCATTGCCAATCAAACTTTCAGTCAACTTAATTTTAAAAAAACATGCACATCAAATATGATTATTTAAAATGCTTACATTTATGGCAGAATAAAAAAATTTAACATTTCAGATGGAAAAAAAAAATACTAAATGTTTTTAAAAAATTGTTAAAATCACCATCAATCAAAGTATAGCATTTCAGTTTCTTGAAAAATTAAATTTAAAAAAAAAAAACAGAATTTTTCGTTTGTTTATACAATAGCTTTCATGTAAAAACTGTAAATTTCGTTAACTGTAAAAACTGACTTTCTATCACACCATTCATATTAGCTAATTATTCTAAAAACTTAATACCTGCAATTTTTAGGAAAGCAAAATAGAACGATAATAGTAAATGTGTTTTGGTCAAATCTGCTAATCCCGCCATAATCTCAGCGAGAAAAAATTTAGAAGGATTTCGAAAAATGAAAATAACTAATAAATGGTATGAAAAACTAATAAATGGTATGAAAAACTAATAAATGGTATGACATGCCTTGGCTGAGACAGAAGATTTTAATAGAGCAGTATTTTTAATTAAAAGAATTGACAAAATATATTAAAATAAATTGCTTTATTGAGAAGTTTAAGTGAAATATATTACATACATAGTAGAAAATTTTAAAATATCTTAAAGGTGTAAAAAGATGATATTCACAAAACAGATTTATTCTGATTAAAAAATAAAATGTTTTCACCACAAAAAAATTTAGATTTATTAATAAACAATGAAAACATGTTAAACAGAACATACATTATATGAAGAGAAAAACACAGTATTTAATGAAGAAATACTAAATATTTTACTTAGGACATACATATATGCTACTGTAAAAGCCTGAAAAAAATTGGTAAAAGGCCGAAATGGAATCATATTAAAGCGCACTTCAAACTTTTAAGAAGTCACTTTGGTAAAAGCTAAGTTTTATTGGTACAACCGAGGATTAACCAGACTTTGGGTTTTCAGAATTACAACTGTTAAAGCTGAAGCTTTACCTGTAAAATTTCGGTTTCACTAAAGCGACTTGGAAACCCCTAGGTTTTATCACAAAGACTTGATAAAATGCAGAAATGGAATCATATTAAAACATACTTCAGACTTTCAGAAAAATCAGTGTGATAAAACCTAGAATTTACCAAACTTCAGGTTTTCACCATAACATATATGCCTACAGAATTTCTTTCAGCACTTTAATTTAAAAGTACTTTCAAGCATTTTAACCTAAATGCTTTTCTAACCAGAAAACTTTATATTACTTTGGAAAAATTATTAATCCTCTTGAAGGGTTTAATGAACTCTTTAACATTCAACATGTTTTTATACAAAAAAAATTTTAAAGAATAATATTTTGGGAGTAGAACCTAGATTTTCTCTGCCAGTTGAAAGTAATTTACATAGCATGCATTACAGAGCAATTATCAGAAATTATAATCATTTAATTCTCATGGGACACATTTTGACATGCCTTTTTAATATCCCAAACTAGTTTCCCCATATGATAAAAGGGGTTCTTTTTGTAGAGTGTTGTATCAATTCCCAGTAAGTTAACGTGGGCAACAAGTGAGTTAACATGGATCACACACAAAATATATGACATTCCCAGTTGCACAAGCCTAGATAACTATTTTGCATAAATATTTTATATAATTCAAGTATTTTATTTATTTATCTATCTATTTAATCAATTTATTTATTTAGTTTCTAAGAATTTTGGCAGTTTGTTCAATGATAGATTCCTACAGAGTAGCACAAGTCCAATTTCAGACATCCAATTTCTTTGTACAGAAGGCATTCTATAAAATGCTGACATTTCATATACTCGTAGAATCATATATTTTGAATTGTCGAAAAATGAAAGCCAAAAAATCTAAACATCATGATTGAAAATCAAATTTTTTTTTTTAAATAAATTAAAAAAAAGTATGAAGCAGCTTTTTTTTCAGCATAAACACTTGATAACATAAAATTCATAGAAGAAACTAAACATTTGCATTTATACAATTTTAGACTGATTTATAAAAAAAATATTTGAATTTTATTTTCATGATTTTTGCCTGAATTTGTTTATTTTTAATTTTCATTTTTTTCTTCTGAACAAACTATTGCATACTTTGATCACTGCAAACCATTTGTAAAATTTAGTTCTTGAGTTTTTTTTTTTTAATTTTATTGAATAATAATAATCCAAGATAATTTCCTATCATTCATAAATATGTCATGTTCAACTAAACAACAAAAAACAACTGTTCTTAGACTATTAAAAACAATTTATAAATTCTAGAAATATAACCCAGATAATTTATTCTATTAATTCTTATTAACTATTCATAAATTTTAAACATCTTTTTCTTTTTTTTTTTGGAATTAACTCAATGATTTGTGCATAAATTCGAGCAGAAGCACTCCTTATTTAACAAATGAATTAATGATTGTTAACAGATAACCTGATAAAAAGTTCTTTAAAGCAAATGCCACGGTGAAAAGAAGAAAAAAAGAATTACATCAAATTATTTAGATTCTGTTTCTTGATCTGAAACATTTTTAATATAAATAGTAAATTTTAAAGGGAAATCTTTTCAGTTTAATCCTAAACTAAACATTTGTTAAATATACTCCCAAATTGTACCAGATTGCATAACACTTCTTTCAAGATTGTAAATATTTAATTTTGTCATTAATCTATATTATAATAAAAATTTAAGAGCAGTTCCCTTTCACTCCAGTTTATTCAACATAAAGGAAGGAAATAATTAGTTTTCAATTTGTAGTCTATGAGTTTAGTTACAGAATAACACTGGTTAAGCTTTTTAGTAACCAAAGGTTAAAAACTAGCATCAAGATAACTATTGACAAGAGAACTTAATACAAAATAATCTTAAAAGTAAACTTTACTATTTAAAAGAATTACAATGGTTTTTGTTTACAATGAAATTCATGAAAATGTAATAGAAACAAATTATTTGGGTTTTGTTTCTTGGTCTGTTACAGTTCTAATATAAATAGCATCTGGAGGTGGATCTTTAATATTGTCATTTTCAAAAATGAAAGATGATGCGATAGCTATTGTCGTACCATCAGGACTGAATGATAGAGAAGAAATATGGGTTGGATAGCGATGAAATTGGCAAAGTCGCTTTTTGTTAAATCCATCCCAAATATTCACAAATCCATCAGATCCACCAGTAGCAAATGTATTATAGTTTTCATGAAAAGCTATTGTGTTCACAGGATATATTAATTCTACTCCACTGCTTTCTTTAAACCGATGGCACTTAAAAGCATACTTTTTCTTTTGAACTTCTGGACTTGGATCAAAATATTCAACAGCAACACGACCTAAAACAAATGTAACATAAAATTATACAAAAACTTTACAATGCAAAAGAAATTACCAAATTTAGAATAAACAGAAGTATTTTCAATTCAAACATTTGTTGTTGTTTCTAATGCGCCTCGGTAATACCAGCAAGCCTGCTTGGTGAAATCAAGCGAATTTAGGGCAGAAGGTGCGTTTCTTGCTTTTCAGTGGCGACATCTATGGCCAAGAATATGACTTCACTCAGACACACTTCACAGAGAGAACTCATTCGTACATCCATTCATTCATCTCCAGAGCGTAATTTTGACCTGAACCAGAGAACAATCAATCTCCAATTCAGCACCCCAGAGGTATGATTTGTACTAGGAACAAGGACTTTGTGAATTGACAGATTTAACGTGCACCAGTCACCATTTACTACAAGGACAGTCCTCCGTTGGCGGGGATCAAACTTACGACTTCATGGAAGTGAGTGCAATACCCTACCAATCAGGCTATCCTGGCCTTCTTAAAACATTAAAAAAAAAATTTAATAAATTAGATACAAAAAAATTTAGACATTTTCCTTCCAATGAAGTAAATATGAGTATATTTCATTAAAATTGTTCCACACACTGTCCAATAGATCTAAAAATTTCATTAAAATATGAAAATTTCATTTTTTTTCAATATATAAAAAATTATTTAAAGCATTTACTGTAGAAAAAATACAAGAACATATAGCAATTCACTTAGAGGAATGAATGCCTTTCTAAATAATAGTAATTGCTTCTGAAGACCATTATTTCAAAAGAAAATTAAATGGCCAAAAATAATTAACAGAAGGCAAATTGATGTCAAGAAAAATTATCATATCATAAACATGACTGCCAACTTTTTGCTCATTTGGGAGAAATTTCCTCTAGTTGTAGCTAAGTTAATTTTTTAATGCTTTCTAATTTAATGCTTGCTAATCTTTGCTTTTTAAATTTGTTTTTAAGTTGTTTTCTCCACCACAACATGCAAATGATTTGAAAGTTTATATAAAACGCCATTTTAACAGCAAAAATTCCGAAAACTTCAGTATTTAAATATCTACCACTTCATAAAATATTTCTCAAAAAGCACTAGCATAATAGTTGGCACCCTTTGATAAATGAAGCTTACATTATTAATAAACACAAGGATAAGTTTTCGCAATAAAGATAAAACATTTTAGTTAATTTTTAAAAAAATAAAACATTAGTAAATAACCATTAATAAAATAATTTATAATAAATAATTAATAAAACATTTATGTCATCTGAAAATTTTAAAAGAAAACTGTTTAAAAGAAAAGTATATATTTTTATATATGAAATGCTAGGGGCAACATAGTGATAAGCCACACTATTTCAAGCAGTGAGATTTTAGTTATTTGTTCTTTAACATTGTCCCCAGAAAAGAACTTAACAAATTTTGGAATTTTCATTAGATAATACACTGAGAAATTTTAGTGATTACATTGAAATACACAAACACAGAAAAATCTTTATGCATACATTGAAATACATAGCCACAAAAAAATTCTTAATGCATAAATTTTTGAAGTGTACTAGACCAGAAAGCCCCTCCTGAATATTTTGAAAATATTAGTTAATATTGCACTGCCTAAAGCACTTTATATAATAACAAAAATGCTTTTCTTTTTTAGGACGGGTGCTGCAACTGGGATTGATTGGATAAGAAACAATTGAAACTACAAATACATAATTGGAAAGATTGAGGGAAAGAATATAACTCTTTTTTTTTTTTTTTTTAGATATTCAAAAAATATAAATTATCTACGCTTTGGAGAATAATATTACATATGTCTTTTTAAACATGTTGAAANTTTTTTTTTTTTTTTTTTTTTTTTTTTTTTTTTTTTTTTTTTTTTTTTTTTTTTTTTTTTTTTTTAGATATTCAAAAAATATAAATTATCTATGTTTTGGAGAATAATATTACGTATGTCTTTTTAAACATGTTGAAAAACTTCGTATGTTTATCTTGACTGAATATCTACAATATTCTCAGCATAAAGTCTGTTAAAATGTTACATAGACAAACATCTTTTGTAAGGCTAAAAGGTATTTGAATAACTGTTAAGCTATAACATGTAGTAAGCGAAAATATAACTACTTCAAATCAAAAATTTCTAATAATTATTTTTGAACAAAACAGAAATCACACAGAATGAGATCTCTGAAGGAAGATGATATATGTGAATATAAAACAAGTAAAGAGGCTAATTAGCAGTAAAATTATGAATTTGCATACCTTCTATAGAACTTAATACAAAGCCTTGCTGGTTAGGAAAGCACCTAATACATCTTGTTTGGTATTTTAAACTGGATTCTCTCCGCTGCTGTACGTAAGACATGTTCCTCAATTCATATATTAATACCCTTCTCCCTGCTGTTCCAACGATGAGTTTGTCTCCACAAACTGCCATGGTGTATACCTAAAATAAATAGTGTATAATATAGAGAAGCTCACAACATAAATTATATAATCATAAAATATAATTACAGATACTTTTTATCTGCCCTACTACACTACATTGGCACAATTAATCAGCAATTTATGATAAAAAAAATTGGAAACTTTTCTGCCTTTAAACTTACAAAAAGTGATAAATTAAATATGCCTTCAATTATGTTGAGCATGAATCATTAATTACATATTCATATTATACAACTCTATTATATGTCAATGAATAAAATAATAATTGTTCCATAATAAGTTACTTTATATATTTTACAATTAAAATGAAAGTCTTTGGTCAAGAATAAACGCTCATTATTTTATGAACTGTCTTGGTGTAGACACACAAATTTCTCTGATACAATAAATATTCCTAATGCAGTATATAATTTTTTTTGTCATTGTTAACCCCTTCCTTCTCACTCCCATAAAAATGCAAGGTGAAATTTCGCATTTATCCATTTCTTCTCATTCTATTAATATATTTTTTACAGCAAACAAGATAAAAATAACAGCTAACCTTGTACATCTTTTTACATCAATCACTGAATAACAAACCAATAATTTTTTCATGAAGCTATACATATTTACTTATTTTTTACTTCACCATTATTTATTTTTTGTCCTATCTCTATAAATTTCTTTTTAAAAAAAAATAATCTCAATTTAACTTTGGTCAGCATTTCAAAACGTTAGGGGGAAGAAAAAAATTTAAATACAATAGTACAAATTTTGTTTAAGCTAGCAGGAGTTGAAGTTCAATCAATCTCATTCTTTCATTGCTGAGCTACCTCGTTACTTGATTATTTTGCAATTATGAAAATTAACAATGCTTGCATTAAAATGTAATATTTATTTAACAGAAAATACTTGTTACATTTTTGAGAAAAAACAGAAATTTTAATAATAAAAGTTAATAGAAAAAAGATATTAATTTAAGAAAATTAATCTACTGATCTTCACTCAAGAAAAATTTCAGTCCCCAGGACTGAAGAGTGGCACTCATGATCATGTGATTAAATATATCTCTATAAGAATATAACCTTCAACTATGAGCTTTAAAATTTCGCGATCAATCTTCAAAATTATTAAACAAATATGATGCAAAATTCGATGATATAGATCAACTAGATTACAATCATGGTAAAAACATAAGTGATTTTAGAAATTAATTCCATGAATGTTTTGCTAATGGCTGGAACAATAGATGTACCATAAAAGAAATGTTACCACTTGAAAAAGTAAAAGGGTAATAAAGTTCCTAAATAAAATAAAACAAGATCTTTAACAGCAAGAAAGTAAACAACAGTATAATACATTATACATCAAAATTTCAGAAATTGTATCTAGTCAAATTATATTTTGTCCATGCACAAATGTATTCGTGTACAAAAAATTAATGTTAAAAATAATGTCAAAGTTGCTATTAGTATTACAACTACACAACCAGTTGACTTATTTTAATATTATCTTTCTTTTATAAAATTTACTTTTAATATTAGAAACAAAAACTAACAGTTGAATAATTGTAAATAAAAAAAGAATGTCATATTGGTAATGTTAACTAATAATAATTAACAAAGAGAAATAAATAGCACCTTTGTAAATATGTAGTTATGAAAAAAATATTCTTAAAAAAAAGTTTAATAAAAACTAGATTAAAGAACAAAAAAAAATGAAACAGATAAATAAAACTTCAAAAAAGTCACTAGATCAAATTCTTAAAGCATGTTTATTAATTTAATTTTATAATTTTACTGTCTTTAACTGTCTTAAATTGTCCTAAACTGACGAAAACTGTCCTAAACTGCTTTGAAGTGTCCAAAAACTTGAACATTGGTAAAAGGTAAAAATTCCATATGTGTAACACATAATAATTACTTATATTAATAAATATTTGATACTTTTTATACAATTTGCTTAAACTTATTAAAAGAAAATAATATAACAGGAAAAGATTTATAACTTTCGACTCTCCACAATTCATTGAACAAAAGTGAATACCTTATCCCTTAAATATGAATGTACAGTAGGGAACCGATTATCCGGAACGATCGGGACCATCGCTATTCCGGATAACTGATTTTTCCGGTTTTCTGAATCGCTACAAAAAGCCGTTTTTTTATTGTTAAACCCAACTAAAGAAAAAATAGGAAATAATCTTAAAAAGAAGAAAAATGATGAAGTAATACACTAATAATTATTTCCAAAATGATGGTAAGGTAAACATTTTTCAAAAAAGAAAGAAAAATCCTAAAATCTTAAGAGGAAAAAAAAATTTTTTTTTTTTTTAAATGGCGGGAAAATGTATCGAATTTCGTTCCGGTTTTTTGGTTTTCCGGTTTTCTGATTTCCGGATAACGGGTTCTGTACTGTATATGCTTTTAATACTGATAAATTAAGTTTTCGCACAAGGATAAATTCGCAATATTAAAAATAATACATTTTTTACTAAAACAAAAACTTGTCTTCACTTTGTTTCTGGTTCAAAAATTAATATTTTATTTTTCACAATCCTTTTTTTTTTAATTATGACATAATTTGAGCAAAAGGGCTTTAGACAGTTTAAGACAAAGGGGTTTTGGACAAGACGGATTAAACCCTGGTTTAAACCGTGGATTAATCCATTCTGTCCTAAACTTTGCTAACTCTGATTACAGAAGAAACCTATGGGAAGAAGAAATTGTGATTGGCTTATTTTTGCTGACAAAAAGGTAATATGAACAATGCTTACATACGACAGTAAAATATTTTCAAAAGTTATTTTTAAATGCAAAAAATATGAAAATTTTGAAGAAGAAAAATAACACTTAGAAAAGTTTCAACTTCGAAATGAAAATAAAAGCTTGAAGGAGAAAGGTTAGAAAACATTTTCTTCAAGAAGTTTCAGAGATCAAGAGTTTAGACCAGCAGTTTCTAAATGGTGTAAAACTTTGTTATATTTGAAGTGTCTAAGGGAGTCTAAGAGATAGGATATTTTTAATAAGTTATAATTTTTAAAACTTATAATTAAATTTATATCTAATTAATGATCTATTTCTAAAATATTTCCATTATTTTAAGGAAATTATTAATTGGAATACTTGTAAGGGAAAAAAAATTCCAAATTAAAATCAATGTTTTTTCTAAAAATAAAGATTGAAGAATAATGAAAAGGATATGCATTTATGAATAATTGCATAAGTATTCGAATTGAACAAAAATAACCAAATTCAAGTTTCTTTTATAGCCATCTTCAATGTTCCTTTTCACCTTTTTTTCGATTTTATTTCAAACGGAAACCATATTTCAACTCATTTATTTTGTTTTCATCAAATTAAGAACTAGACAAGATGGCTCTCATGACTTGTGAATTCAAGTCTGACAAAAAGCCTAAATTTAAGACGATAAGAGAATAGGATGAAAAAATTTTATTCTTCTTTCTTTTGAATTTCATTCTTTTTTAAATTTTATTCTTTTGAAAACATTCACTAAATGTTTTCCATATATTTAATCAAATTATAATTATTGAATATTTTAATTTCAATAATTAAATGATTAAAAAAAATTTGTTGAATTATGTGTCCAATGAAATTTATTAAGTCTCAAAGGTTCCAACAAAAAAAAAATTCAATCATTTAAGGTTCCATAGCTGAAAAAAATTGGGAACAGCTAGTTTTAACCACTAAAGGAAAATAAATCTTATTTGAATTTAATCTATAAATTCCAAAAAGGGAGAATACTAATACAGTAAAATTGAGAACAAAATATGAACAGGGATGCAGTGACTTTACATGAGTATGATTTTGTGATTTGCTTATTTCTGCTGACATCCAAAAATTTTCAGGGTGCATAGCCAAATTATTCAACAAAAAATAAGCACCTTTTAAGCACTTTTCAAGCACTCAAAAAATATTTTACGCACTTCAAAAAAATAGCACAATTAGGCAGGGTTGGGAAGTTTTTGACAATTGACGGTTTTATCTTGTTTTAACAGTCATGTCAAAAAAGAAAAGAAAAAAACCTTTTGGCATTGTTTTTGACAATTGCAGGGATGAGATTAGCAAAAAGGCAAAAAAGCTGAATTTCCACGATAGTAAATTTTACGCAAGCGCAACTCTATAATAATAAATTCCAGACAGTTTAAGGTAATAAATAATGTGTTGACATACAATTGTGTACTAATCTACTATTATATAAATGATTACATTGATACTTAACATTTAGTGAAAATAAAAATTACCAATTGAAAAAATAAAGCCGGGAATTATTATATTTTTCCTCAGTTCACATAAGAGAACATTATTACTTGAAAAACTACCTGGTTTAGCAAATTAAAACTACTGAGAATATACATTAATATTTCATTTCTTTTAATAAATACTGTTATGTGATTTATAGCAAATATATCAGTAATATTACTTTTNGGAAAGCACCTAATACATCTTGTCTGGTATTTTAAACTGGATTCTCTCCGCTGCTGTACGTAAGACATGTTCCTCAATTCATATATTAATACCCTTCTCCCTGCTGTTCCAACAATGAGTTTGTCTCCACAAACTGCCATGGTGTATACCTAAAATAAATAATGTATAATATAGAGAAGCTCACAACATAAATTATATAATCATAAAATATCTTCATAAAATGTAATCGCAAATACTGTTTATCTGCCCTACTAAGCAACATTGGTACAATTAATCAGTATTTTATGATTTAAAAAAATTTGGTTACTTTTCTGCCTTTAAACTTACGAAAAGTGATAAATTAAAATTGCCTTCAATTATGTTAGAGTAAGAATCATTAATTATATATTCATATTATACAACTCTATTATATGTCAATGAACAAAGCAGCAGAATAATAACTGTTCCATAATTAGTCACTTTATATATTTTACAATTAAAATTAAAGTCTTAGGTATAAATAATCAAGAACAAATGCTCGCTTATTTTATGAACTGTCTTGACGTAGACACGCAAATATCTCTGATACAACAAATATTCGTAATGCATTATATAATTTTTTTGTTATAGTTATCCTTCTCGCTCCCGTGAAAATGACGAAGTGAAATTTCGTCCTCTATTTCTCACTTCCGGGCTGGAGTGTTCAGTAGTAACGCGCCAATAAGAATAAAACTAATTCATTTCTTTCGCCTGGAAAACATTTTATTTCTCATTTTACACACCAGATGGTAGTACCAGGATATTTTTAAGATTTTGTAGATAGTTTATTTTAAACTAGATGTCACCACAAATCAAATATGTGTATTTGGCAAAATCGGCACTTTTATGACAGTTTTCTGGAAAATTAACCGATCGTTAAGGGGTTAATCGTAGTTAATCTGAAACATCATGCATTGGTGCCACTCTAAAAGTATTTCAATACTGAACTTTTTTCTTTTGATTAATTAACACAATTTACAGTTGTTTACTATAATTTTCAGAGATTTATAGCTCACAGACTCCAAAATGTACCTTTCTATGCATAAGGGCTTATATATTAAATCAATTATCCAATTTTTTCTCATTCTATTAATATGTCTTTTACCGCAAACAAGAAGAAAAAAAACAGCTAACCTTGTACATCTCTTTACATCAATCACTGAATAACAAACCACTAATTTTTTCATACGTATCTATTTATTTTTAACTTCACCATTATTTATTTTTTGTCCTATCTCTATAAATTTCTTTCTTAGAAAAAATAATAATCTCAATTTAACTTTGGCCAGCATTTCAAAACATTAGGGGGAAGGAAAAAAAAATTTAGATACAATAGTACAAATTTTTTTTAAGCTAGCAGGCGTTGATGTTCAATCAATCTCATTCTTTCATTGCTGAGCTATCTCATTACTTGATCATTTTGCAATTATGAAAATCAACAATATTTGCATTAAAATGTAATATTTATTTAACAGAAAATACTTGTTACATTTTTGAAGAAAAACAGAGATTTTAATAATAAAAACAAATAGGAAAGAGATATTAATTTATGAAACTTAATCTACTGATCTTCTCTCAAGACTAATTTCAGTCCCCAGGACTGAAGAGTGGCACTCATGATCACGTGATTAAATATATCTCTATAAGAATATAACCTTCAACTACGAGCTTCAAAATTCCAAGATCAATCTTCGAAATTATTAAACAAATATGATGCAAAATTCGATGATATAGATCAACTGGATTATAATCATGGTTAAAACATAAGTGATTTTATAAATTAATTAATTCCATAAACCTTTTGCAGGCTGGAACAATAGATGTACCAAAAAAAAATTTTACCACTTGAAAAAGCAAAAGGGTAATAAAGTTTCTAAATAAAATAAAACAAGATCTTTAACAGCAAGAAAGTAAACAACAGTAAAATACATTTTACATCAAAATTTTAGAAATTGCATCTAGTTAAGTTATATTTCGTTCATGCACAAATGTATTTGTGTACAAAAGATTAATGTTAACCATACCAACGCTGATATTAGTATTAAACTACACAATCAGTTGACTTATTTTAATATTATTATCTTTTTTTAATAAAATTTACTTTCAATTTTAGAAACAAAAACTAACAGAATGTTATATTGATAAAGGTTAACTAATAATTAAGAAAGAGAAATAAATAAATAGCACCTTTGTAAATATGTAGTTATGAAAAAAATATTCTTAAAAAAAGTTTTTAAAAAACACTAGATTAAAGAACAAAAAAATGAAACAGATAAATAAAACTTCTAAAAAGCCACTAGATCAAATTCTTAAAGCATGCTTATTAATTTAATTTTATAATATAATAAAAAAGGGATGTTTAACTATTATTACAAAAGAAACCTATGGGAGGAAGAGATTGTGATTGGCTTATTTTTGCTGACAAAAAGTAATATGAACAATGTTTTCATACGACACTAAAATCTCGATATTTTCAAGAGTTATTTTTAAATGCAAAAAACATAAAAATTTTGAAGAGGAAAAATAACACTCAGAAAAGTTTTAACTGCGAAATAAAAAAATAAAAAACTTGGAGGAGAAAGGTTAGAAAACGTTTTCTTCAAGAAGTTTCAGAGATCAAGAGTTTAGACCAGCAGTTTCTAAATGGCGTAAAACTTTGTTATATTTGAAGTGTCTTAGGGAGTCTAAGAAATAGGATATTTTTAACAAGGTATAATTTATAAAACGTATAATTAAATTTATATCTAATTAATGATCTATTTCTAGAATATTTCCATTATTTTAAGGAAATTATTAATAGGAATACTTGTAAGTGGAAAAAAATTCCAAATTAAAATCAATGTTTGAAGAATAATGAAAAGGATATGCATTTATGAATAATTGCCTTAGTATCCGAATTGAACAAAAATAACCAAATTCAAGTTTCTTTTATAACCATCTTCAAATGTTCCTTTTCACCCTTTTTTAGATTCTACTTCAAACGGAAACCATATTTCAGCTCATTTATTTCCAGTTTTCATCAAATTAAGAACTAGACAAGATGGCTCTCACCTGTGAATTCAAGTCCGACATAAAGCCTAAATTTAAGACGATAAAAGAATAGGATGAAAAAAATTTTATTCTTCGCTCCTTTGAATTTCATTATTTTTTAAATTTTATTCTTTTGAAAACATTTACTAAATGTTTTCAAAATATTTAATAAAATTTTAATTATTGAATATTTTAATTTCAATAATTAAATGATTAAAAAAAATTTGTTGAATTTGTTTGTTGAAAAATTTGTCCAATGAAATTTATTAAGTCTCAGAGTTTCCACCAAAAAAAAAAGTCAATCATTTAAGGTTCCATAGTTGAAAAAAATTGGGAACTGCTAGTTTTGACCACTAAAGGAAAATAAATCTTATTTGAATTTAATCTATAAATTCCAAAAAGGGAGAATATTAATACAGTCAAATTGAGAACAAAATATGAACAGGGGCGCAGTGACTTTGCATGAGTATGATTTTGTGATTTGCTTATTTTTGCTGACATCGAGAATTCAATGTTGCCAAAAAACAGCTTTTATTATAGTTGAATGATAAAAATATCACTCTATACAACAATTAAATTTGATAATTTAGTGATTCAAATCTTTCAACAAAAAATAAGCACCTTTTCAGTACTTTTCAAGCACTCAAAAAATATTTTAAAGGACTATATAAATTAATAACATGCAAAATAATTTTCAAAGACTTTACATGATCATGATAAAATAACTAGTTTCTGACAAAGAACTCTTCTCTTGATTATATTAACCATTAAAAAATGATCAAGAGATTTTTCAGATCGATTTCAGAGGGTGGAAAATGAAGCTTGAAATTGAGAATATCATGCAAAATGCAACAGAGTTGCACATGAGAGTGCAATAATCTCACCAAACCCAGCTCAGAAAACCTGTAAAATGATTGGTGCTTTCATACGCTATTGACTGACGGTACGCTGAAATGGATTGTGGTTGAAAGAATTGTGAAAACGTTGAATAGAACAATGTGAAATACACACTTTTGCATAATACGTGGTGAAAATTGACATGGTAAAGAAAAAAAAATTGCATTTTCGAAAAGGGAAAATCAAGTTCTTTTTTAAAAACATCCCACGAAAAAAGCACCCTTAAGGACTTTTAAAAAACGAAAATCTAAAATAAGCACTTATTAAAAACATTATGCACCATGTAATATATAAACAATGAAATAAAATAATAACTAAAAATATAACATAAAAATAGAATTACTTTGTCGGGCAAAGGATATGTTCCAGCACAATCGGGAAATCTAGTATCCCATAATCTTACAGTTCTATCCCAACTACCACTGATAACAACATTCACATCAGGGCAATGTTCAATGCATTTAACAGGAGCTTCATGAGTTCCTCTAAAAACGTCTATAAAGATATATTCACATTAGAAAAACACAGAACATTTAAAACAGAACAGACAAAAGATAAAATAAGTGAATATTAACAATTAATGTTAAGTCTGAATTCTTTTGTAAATGTAATTCATGTATTTATTTATAGCATCAAAAGAAAAATTTGCAAAGGAATTACGACTTAACTGGCAAATTTTTTAACAGATAACTTATATTTCACCAATCCAGTTTTCATTCCTGCAGTTGAAAGTTTGGAAAAAGGCAGAACAACTACTAAGAGGTTAACGTTCGTTTTTGTTCATACAATATACACTGTTATGTCCAATTAACAGAAAATGACTTAGCTAAGGAAACAGGGTGCATAGTCAAATCTTTCAACTAAAAATAAGCACCTTTTAAGTACTTTTTAAGTACTCAAAAAATATTTTTAAGCACTATATACATTAAAAAAATGCAAAAATATTTTCAAATACTTTAAATGATCATGATAAAATAACTAGTTTCTGACAAATAACTCCTTTCTCGATTATATTAGCCACTATAAAAATAATGTGATATTTCTCGGTTCGATTTCAGAGGGTGAAAAATGAAGCCTGAAATGGAGAATATCTTGCAACATGTTGCACATGAGAGTGCAAGAATCTCACCAAACTCAGCTCGGTAGACACACATGCGGACTCGCAAGTATTTCTTCACACATGTAGAATGATGGGCGCTTTCATAGGCAATGGACCAACAATGCACCGAAATGGATTGTGGTTGAATGAATAGTCAAAACATTGAATAGAACAATGCGAAAAACACGCTTTTGCATAATATGTGGCTAAAATCGACATGGTAAAGAAAAAAAAATCTCATTTTCGAAAAGGGAAACATTTTAAAAACACCTAATGAAGAAAGGACTTTTAACAGCTTTTAAAAAACGAAAATCGAAAATAAGCACTTTTTAAAAACGCTACGCACCATGGGAAAACATTCTTTAGATACTTTCAAAATAAACAGGTATATCATCAGCAAATTGAATAGGCAAATAATTATATAAAATTGAACACTCACTAGAAATTTCTTTTAGAAATAAATTTTTATATACATATATATATAAGTTCAAAATGTAGAATAAAACAAAGAAAAATTATAGACATATGAAAAANTTTAATATATATATATATATAAACTTAATGGAGAAAACCTGAAAGAAACAACTAGAAGTAAATGTTGTGACAGGGCATATTTAATTGGAGTTAACACTAAAAAAGATTTTTAAATAAAATACGTTAAGTTAAACTTTTGTTTTCCAGCAATCAATTAGAATTCACTTAACACTCATACTTTATGGCTATATTAACAAGGTTGCCACAGAAAAAAAATTAACAAAATAGTTGCTTTTAGTAGCCTAAAGCATGAAAATAGTAGCTAAAAACTAGGAAAATTGTTGCCTGAATGAGAACAAAAATTCATCAAAAATACGACTAAAATTTTGTTAATGACTTAATTGTCATATACCATGATTCATTCATACAAGTTTGTGGCAAATATGATAATTTTTATATCATATTTGCTGTTATTTTTACGTTATTAATACACACGTTATGTGTATATATATATATTATCTGAAAAGAGATTACTCAAATTTGAAATTCACGCATCGTAATATCTTATTAAAATTTATTTTATTTTATTTTTTTCAAAAAAATTATGCGGAATTTTGTAGCAATAATCATTGAAAAGGGGATCGAGAAATGAAGACTTACAATGGAATCTGTGCAGATTGATCGAATTAAAAAGTGAACACTCAAATTTGCAATTCAAAATTTTCAACTTTCTTCATTTTTTAAGAAGAAAAAAAGTTCAGTGTGTTCAGAAACTATCTTGTGAGGTGCAGATTTTCCACCCCATTTAGGCAGCTTTTAAAAAAAAAAAAATCACTAGGAGTACAGAAAGTCTCCTAATAGTCTCCTTTTCCTGAAAATAGTTGCTTTTTTAGCCTTTTCAGGCAAAAACAGTTGCCATAGTCACCTCATGCCAAAAATAGTTGCATTTTAGTCACCTGTGGCAACCCTGCATTACACACTGAAGCATCTTGTTTAACAAGGCTCAGTCTCTTCTTGCTTTTTCTATAATATTAATTTGTTAAATAAATTTTTACAATGGTATTATAACATTATGTTGGTCTTTGAACACATTTTAACGCAACACTGCGACAAAATAAAATTTAAATATTTTATGGTTGTAATGCTTTGCTTTAAGTAAATGACAAGCACTTAACATTAGTCTTAAAAACTGCAGATAATGTCTGATCTCATAATTGTTTGAGCAACAAACTACAAAAATTAAACTATAAGAAAGCAGAAAAAAGCAAAATGTGATTACAACACAAATAAAAGTGCAGAAATGGACTATAGTATGCACAGTCCACAAAAAAAAAAAACCGACTACCCCAAATAACTTTTCATCTAATGATCCAATTCTCATATACTAGGACTCAATCGTAATGGGTGATCTCAAATATGATAATTAATTAGTACAGACAATATTTTAAGTTCACACAAAAATGGACACCAGACACAAAAATGTACTTTCTCTACATAAACATGCAGTGAAACCTGCCAAGTTGACCACCCTTGTAAGTTGGGCACCTGCATAAGTTGACCTCAATTATAAAGAACGGAAGTTTTCCTATATAATATAAAGAAGCAAAACCTTTGTAACTTGACCACCTGTTTATCTTGTACGTTGACCACTGAAATAAGTTAATTTTGTCTAGGAGTATTATGAAATTCTATTCTAAAAACCTCATAAGTTGACCAGAAAAAAAATTCAGAAAATTTTCTGTCATTTTGGCAATGTATGTTAAAATTTTAGACTCTTTATTTTTGTATCTCTTGTTTCCGCTTTTTGTTCTTTCTTTATATTGTTCTTAGCTACAAATTTGTCTTTCATGTCTGCCATTGGAAATATAAAAAATGTTAAAATTTCACTTGTTTGGTGAAATAGTGTTAAAAGCTAATCTAAACCCTTTTGTGAGTTGACCATCAGGGGAAACTGTAAGGAGTCAGCTTTTTACCATTTCTTTCATCCGTTCATTGAAAACAGGTGTGTTAGTTGAAAAGTTGCTCTTCCTGTTGCAATAGTCAGCATTTGAATAAATGAATACTCTGAATCTTTGATCTTTAAGTGTAGTAAATAAATTTTAAAGTGTCCAAATAAATTTTCTTTTGTGAAAGATTTCAAATTACATGTTTTCGTGTTCTCATATTTTAAGAAATTATATTTATTAAACACTTCACATGCATAACTAACCAAATAATTTTTTAAAAAAAAATTTGTTAAATATTAGAATTATATCTATCAAATTCAAGTTCATTCAGGTTTAAACACATTTCTTAACATATTCATTTGCATATTTTCTGAATAAAATTTTTAAGTCAAGTAAAAAAAAAATTCAATATATAGCAACATGATATAGGAAAAGAAAAAGTAAACAATGACCCACCCCCTCTATAAGTTGACCACTTGTCTAAGTTGACCACTGAAACAATGCACCACACAATGGTCAACTTACACAAGTTTTACTATATATTTTTAACGGCAGATTCGTATTTCTGACACACAAAATAAAGAGGTAGCCACAACCTGGGAAATGTGGTCCAAATAGTTCGGTTAGGAAAGCGGTCCAAAGTTTGGACCCCTTAATGTTAATTTTACCTTTTGCATATTTCACTGTATCTTGAGAATTATAAGCAAATTGAAAAATTTCTGCACACGATTATAAAATTTGTTTATCCAATGATAAATGAAATGCAAAAAATAACTTTTAGTAAATATTTTTTATTTTTTATAATTTTATTTCATACTAGTCGAAAAATGTTGAATTATTAATGTATACAATTTTATACATCACTTTGAAGAATGCAATTTTTTATGGCAAAATACAAAATCTGAGAGAATTCGGTTGAGTAGTTTCTGAGAAATCGAATTTTAAAGAAATCGAATATTTAAAATTCAATTTCTCAGGAAATATTCTTCAACTATTTACACTTAAATTTTCCTATGTAAAATTACGAACTTTAAAGTGATTTAAAAAATTGTATACCTTACAATTCAAAACTTTTCTATTAAATAAAATAATAATAATAAATATTTACTAAAATTTTTTTTTGAATGGAATTATCTGTGGATAAACGAGCTATATGATTGTGTGCAAAAAATTTTCAATTCGCTTCAAAAGGTCTAGAGACACGCAAGAAGGAAAATTAATATTAAGGGGTCCAAACTTTACGCTGCTCTCTTGACCAAACTATTGGGACCATATTTTTAGCTGAATAGTTCTTGAAAAATCTAATTTTAATTACACAACTTTTTTAAAATTTGATTTCTCAGAAACCATTCGACCGATTACGCTCAAATTCAGTATTTTGCCATGTAACTTTACATACTTTAAAATGATGTAAAAAATTGCTCACGCTACAATAAAAAAAATTTTCCGACTATTACTTAGTAAAATAATAAATATTTAATAAAATTTGTTTTCTTTTTTGCATAGCTTTATTCTATGATAACAATATTTGTACCATAATAATTATTTTTTATTGTTTTGCTCATAGTTGCTTACTTTTTACGTCTTTTTTTTAATAGCTTTTTCTCTTAATTTTATTAAATATTAAATAAAATTTATTTTTTACATAGCTAATGCTTTGGATAAACGATTTTTTATAATTGTACGAAAAAAAATTTCAATTTGCTTAAAAAGTTCAGAGATATGGCAAAATATGCAAAAAGTAAAATTAACATTAAGGGGTCCAAACTTTGGATGACTCTTCTGATCAAACTATGGGGACCACATTTCTCAGATTGCGGCTACTCATTATATTTCAGATGTCAGAAAACCGAATCCATTGGCAAAAAAAGGTACGTTTATTCAGAGAAATTACGTTTTTGTGTTTAAGTGGTAAGCTACGTTTTTGTAACTTACCATATCGTCTCCACTAATTAATTAACAAATTCGAGGTCATCTCCTCGAACCATTAGGATTGAGTCATAGAATGTGAAAATCCAATCATTAGATCAAAAGTTATTCAGTGTGGTCTGTTTATTTTTTTGCACACTGTATATTTCTGTACTTTTATTTGTGCTTCATTCATGTTGATTTGATTTATTCATCCATAGCACAAAATATACTCTCTGTCCTTGTTTGAACACATAGAAACTTTTATTACCAGTATTTGTATTCAAATCATAAGATCTAACATGCCAGTCTAATCCTCCACTCCAAGCATGAACAGAATCCTAAAAAAAGAAAATTAACAAATAGAAAACTTACTAGTAAAATCTGCATGAAAGAATAACAAAAATGTTACAGTGTACTGTGAAATTCACTAAAAATAACAAAAAATTAAGAAGAATTAAAAATATCAAGATTTATTTCTTCATTCTTTTCATTAATATCTAAAGAGCTGCTCAGTTAATGATCAATAATCAATAAAAAAACAAATAATCCTAATTTACAACAGTATTGAAAAATGCCAAAGAATACCCAAGCAAGGGACTGTCTACTTTTTCCGAGAGGTACCTATTTTGTGAAAATTTAGACATAATTTGTGAAAAATTATAAATTATATTAAAAGATCAACACAAAAATATGGATTTATTGCTTTTTAAGGAATACAAAAATAAAATTTTCAGAAAAAGTACTTTGTGAAAAGGTTGAATTTGTGAAGGTACCGCTGAACGGTAGTAAATTCGGCGTGGACAGACCCCTGCCAAGTTATTCTAGGCACCAACATTTTGTACATAAAATATAGCACAATTGTTTTGCAACAATAAGTATCATAAGAATGGCTTTAATTTAAGTCAAAAGTTGTACACATTAACACTTAAAAAAAAAACTATTTTCTTTTTATTTATGTTCGAATTTTAAAAATATTTTTAACTTTGAATTCAATATGTGATTTGTAGTAGTGTATATGTTTAGTATGTGATATATTAATTTAGTAGCATTAATAAAGTTTCATATTTGATACAATTCATATAATTACTAAATATTTCATCGTATTCATTTATGTAAAATATTAAACGACTACCAATAATTTAATTTCTAAATGAAAATTCATTTATTTTTTTCCTCCTAATTGTTGTTTTTTTTAGTCATCACACCAGCAGCAGAAATACTCCAGCAATGCAGCAGACATAGCAGATTATTACTGGTTCTGTTGATTATTTTTCATCTAAGTTTTGCTTTATTTTGAAAAAGCAAACTAACAAATGGGGTAAAATTGTTGAAATTCCTTTTTAAAACATTTATCTAAATAATACACTCAACTTGTTCCGAATAAAAATTTAAAAAGAAAAAAAAAAGCAGAATTAAAAAAAAAAAACTCTAGTTTTCCTTTTTTTATTACAGATGTATCTGTATAAGAACTTATTCAATTTTTTACATATTTTTGTATAAAATTCTATTTCAATTTAAACAACATAAAGTTATAATGTAGAATTTTTATAGACCTTACATTTTCAAATTTTGCTACATGTACGTTAGATTAAGCTGAATTTTTACAATAATAATCTCTGCCATATTGAGGTTGCAGACAAGTTTGTATTTTTGAAGACAGTGCTGCAGATTCACTCCTCAAATTTTATTACCAGGGTTATCTCATATTTAAAATTTATTAAATAACTTAAAAATTAATGCTATTATTTTTTATTATTTTATTAAACTGGATTGCTAAACTGTTTAAAAATTACTTTAATAACTTGAGATCTCTTTTAAAAAGCATTCCTTCCACTTAGGTTAGAAAAGACTACTTCTTCTCCGACAGTTTTTGTCACTGAGAAAGAAACTTGCCAGCCTTGACAATTATATTATTAGAAGACTTCATGTCCTGTTCATTTGTCCTCATTATCCTTCAAATATGTACTCAGAACTCTCAGATTCCTTTCCAGGCTCAATGAATATGTGTGCCTAGCTTTCTATATAGGCTGGTACCTTTTTTTTACAATCAAGTTCTAATATAATATCAATAGAATACATCCTATGGAATATTTGATTTATAAAAATTCCATTTACCAATGCAAGTTTTCAATTTACACAATCAGCATTTACGTTATTAAAACAAGTTGGTCACAATAAACTTAATTATTTTTTTCAAAAATTAGCAATAAGTCTTAATTTGAAATGTATTGTAATTCCATTCTGTTAAAAATAAACAGTTAACTAATATTTTTTTTAACAACTATTTATAAAATGTCAGTTAATACAAAAATTAATAAATGCATCAATTTTAAAACTATTAAAAATTAATTGAATTATTAGCTATTAGAAATTAAGACATTTTAATACCTGGAAGCAACAATCCAGAAGAGGTCTACCACTATTTGTCTTCATTCTAAGCGTATTACTTGTAACGTCATATAATCGTAAATGAGCATCCCAAGATGATGTAAGTAAAAACTGGTTCGAATTGGGACCAAACCTGACGGAAGATATAAGATCTGTTGGTGGATTTATCAGCTGAAACTCATTGGGATTATCAGGAGAAGAAACCTCTTTATCTGTATCAAGAAAATCAGTATCACTTATCAAAAATCAGACATAAATAATTTTTAATTCAGTTAATCAAAAATTTAATTGAAATTAATTTAAAGACTCTAAGTTGTAATGTTCTATAGATCAACAATATTAAATGTGTCAATCTACATTTGTTGCTTGCTTCTTTATTTACATTGAGGTTACTATTTATGTTGAATCACAACAGCACCGCACGTCCTTAGATGGCAAAGTCATTGGCCGCAATATGAGACTCCTTAATCCCTTCCTTCTTATGATGGGGTGAGGTTCTTCGCTCCTATGATATTGACGGGCTGGAGTGTTCAGTAGTAAGGGGCCAATAAGAATAAAACTAATTCATTTCTTTTGCCAGGAAAACATTTTATTCCTTATTTTACACACCAGATGGCAGTACCAGAATATTTTTAAAAGTAATTGTAGATAGTTTACTTTAAACTAGATGTCAGCACTAATCACATACGTAATATAAAAGCTAAAAAATAGGCACTTTTATGACCGTTTTCTTGAAAATTAACCGATCATTAAGGGGTTAACAATACTGGAAATTCATGAATGTCAATTTATTGATAATTTTTCCGCAACTCATTTTTAAATTAAAGTCTTTGATTAAATATATTTGTGAGTATGAATACTCAGTCACTTATATTTTACTACCAGTTATTGTCAACTTTTTGCTACTGCTTCTTTGTCTCTTCTCGTCAAGGTTGGCAAGTTTTTGACAATTGACGGATTAACCGTAATGACAATGTCAAAAACGCTTTTTGACAATTGTCAAATACGCTTTTTGACAATTGTCAAATACGCTTTTTGACAATTGTCAAAAATTCTACATTTTAGTGTTACAAGGATAATTATTAGCTATTATAAATATGACATATTTATATATAAACATGCATATTACAAGTGATAATCAATTATGTTTTTGAATTATTTTAACATTAAGAGCAAGAATCTGAGAAATTGTCACACCTGACATTATGAGGTGATTCATGCCATCTCAGATTTTCTCATAAAAATTATTAAATGTTACACATCTTGTCAAAAGACAAAATCTAAAATTTTTCACTGCAAAGTTGAGTTGTTGACTTTTTATGGTCCCCCAAAGTTCAGAGCGTTGCAGGAAAATTTCAGCATTTTTGCAATACATGGAAATTACAATGACCCACAGCTCTTAGCACAAACGAAGTGCCTCCAAGAAATTTAAATATCTGAAAAGTAAAGATGATGAACTTTGTAAAATGGGTGAAAAGTTTGTGGCAAGGTCACTGAAGGTCGTAAAAAGTGTTTTTGCTGTTTTTTGCAGTTTTCAACGATTAACTATAGAAATATTAATGTAGAAAATATTAAATATAAATAAAAATATGCAAAATTGCAAATTATCCAATCTATAAATTTTATTTTTGAAAATAAAGATAGAAAAACAATCTTCCTACTAAAAAACACTTAATCATCTTATTTATACGTAAAATCAATTTTCATTTACTCCCATTTTAACTCCTTCTTCTGAATACATATCAAAGAAAAACAAAATGAAAACGTTACATAAAAGAAAATTTTGGACATAAAATAAATGAGAATAACAAGAATCTAAACAAAGTGAATTTAAAGGAAAATAAAGATTTAAATAGCAAAACTGAAAGTAATCTTGAATTTTCCAATATTCTTGAGACTGATTTTGATAATGTGGGGCCGCTTAGTCAAGATCATGTTGACGAAATTATGCAAATTCAAGATGATGAAATAAATTCCTATCTTCGGGAAATTTTGTACAAACATAAATATGTGAACATAATTAAAAATAAAAAAAAACATGCGATTGGAAAATTCATTTTAATAGCTAACTGGGCCTGAAAATTTAAATTTTCGGTTAGTAGCCAGAGGCAGGTAGACTCTAATAACCTAACGAGCCGATGACTGATAGCGATAGGTCCTTTCCATCTAATTGTCCCTCTTTAAAACTTTTTTTGCTTGAATTATATTACATTTTTTTTAAAAATGAAAGTTATGATGAAATGATGTTAAAATGATAGCCACTAAGAGTAATATGTACTAAAATACATAATATTATTACAGGCATAATACATAAATATTATTTTAAGCATATTCACAACTACAAATATAATACTGTGAGGACTTAATTATCAACAATGTCAAACATNTAAAGGGGCAGATGTTGAAAATAATGAAAGATCCAGGAAGAAAAGTGAAACGGATTTCATTCTAAATGGCGCAATGAGAAATTTTTTTCAAAATGCGAGAAATTCGCGAATTTTGAAATTGGTTTATAGAATGCGCGAATTTCTCGCGGTAATCATTTTTTAATGCGAGAAAAGAAAAAAATATGCGAGATTCTCGCGTTCTCGCGCTGTAGTAAAAACACTGATATTAAATTACAAGTGATGATCAATTTGAGGTGATTCATGCTATCTCAGATTTTCTCAAAAAAATTATTAAATGTACACATCTTGTCAGAAGGCAACATCTGAAATTTTTTGGCCGCAAAGTTGAGTTGTTGATTTTTTATGGCTCTACAAAATTCAGAGCGTTGCAGGAAAATTTCAGCATTTTTGCAATACATGGAAATTACAATGACCCACAACTCTTAGCACAAACAAAGTGTCTCCAAGAAATTTAAATATCTGAAAAGTAAGGATGTTAAACTTTGTAAAATGGGTGAAAAGTTTGTGGCAAGTTGTTGCCACAAGGTCACTGAAGGTCATAAAAAGAAGCGTTTTTGCTGCTTTTTGCAATTTCAACGATTAACTATAGAAATATTAATGTAGAAAATATTAAATATAAATAAAAATTAGCAAAATTTCAATTTATCCAATCTATAAATTTTATTTTTGAAAATAAAGATAGAGAAACAATCTGTTTATTAGAAAACACTTAATCATCTTATTTATATGTAAAATCAATTTTCATTTACTCCCATTTTAACTCTTTCTTCTGAATACATATCAAAGAAAAACAAAATGAAAATGTTAAAGAAAAATTTGGACATAAAATAAATGAGAATAACAAGAATGTAAACAAAGTGAATTTAAAGGAAAATAAAACCAAAAATAGGCTTAAAAATAAAGATTTAAATAGCAAAACTTAAAGTAATCTTGAATTTCTAATATTTTTGAGACTGATTTTGAAAATGTGGGGCCACATTGTCAAGATCATGTTGACGGAATTAGCAAATTCAAGATGATGAAATAAATTCCTAACTTCAGGAAATTTTGGTACAAACATAAATATGTGAACATAATAAAAAAACACACGTAATTAGAAAATTCATTTTAATAGCTAACTGGGTCTGAAAATTTAAATTTTTGGTTAGTAGCCAGAGGCAGGTAGACTCTAATAACCTGACGAGTTGATGACTGATATCGATAGGTCTTTTCATCTCATTGTCCCCTTTTATAACTTTTTTTTGCTTGGATCATACTACATTCTTTTAAAAAACATAAAACATTCATTTCAGAAATAATCTCTGGCTTACAAAAAGTTAATTCAATAATAAAAATTGTATAAACAAACGAAAAAAATTTAATTGAACATACTGACTTTAAAGAACATTTTTATATATATTTGGGGAGGGAAAATAACTTTAAATGAAATATGTGAATTGTTTAAGAACTCTCCTTCCACATGAATCTTTCCACCACTTATTGATGAATTCTAAAGGATCAAAATTTTGAAGGGAGACATTGGACATTTTAATTATAATTCTGTTCTCCAAAGGTGTACCTGTCTCCTGAATTCCAAAGGTGTCTCCTGAATTGATGTACTTTTATCATTAAAAGATTTTTTTAAAAAAAAGTGACTAATTTTTTAGTTAACTTCGCCACTTTTTTTTTGTTGACTCACCACGCGGTGCATGGTTATTTACAGGTTTACTATGAATTATACTAAATATTGAAAGAAACTTAATTAAACCCTTGAATTGATTGATTGAAAAAATTATTAACTCACTTAAACTAATGTTTATATTTTATATAAATTATATTAGTTTATTTACCAGGGAATATAGGATAGTTAAGATTTAATGGAAATATCTACATGTATATAAGCAGAAGGGCAGAAAATTCTCAAAACCTAATATCTCCTAAGAACAAAGTTGTTGTTTTTTTAATGAAAATTTCTACCCAATTTTTTTTTTTTTTGTCTAGTACAATATTTTTTTTTTTCAAAATATCTTTTGAAAGTCAAGTTAATATATTGTTACAATTTGTTCATAATAAAAACAAAGAAAAAAATCCTTAGATTTTATACTATTCTTGACACAATCTTGATTTTACACAATTTAGATTCTACACAATAAGTGTTAAAAATAATAGAAATCAAAATATATTGAAATAGTAATAATTTATTAAACTAAATTTAAGGTTCCACTCATAAACTTAAAGGATTTATTGTATAATTAGTAAATACACAAGAAATTGACATATGTTTTTTATGTTTATGTTTTGCTTAGTTATGTTTTGCAAAGCAACTTATTTTTTAACTATAAAAAACTTTGTAGGAATTTTCTTAGATCAAAAATTTTTCCCAAAACCTCATTCCCAGGAGCATATTCTGTTTCCCTGCATAAAAGTAATAAAAACAAATATTGAGAATCAGACAAAAAATTTCATTAGTAGAGATCAGACAATTAATTATTAGCAACAGTTTTACATTATCGAAAAAATCTTATTAGAATTTTATTTATGAGATAAAGCAATTAATGCGTATTTTTTTTGTTTCTCATTGTGAAAAAATTAATCTTTTATGTGGGATTGAATTTCTTTAAGACTGACGGGAAAAAAGCATTTATTAAGTTGTAAAAGCCATTAAGAGTAATATGTACTAAAATACATACAGGGGTCTGTCTAGGTTTTTCTGAGAGGTACCTATTTTGTGAAAATTTAGACATAATTTGTGAAAAATTAAAAATTATATTTAAAAATCAACACAAAAATGTGGTAAAAACATGGATTTATGGCTTCTTAAGGGATGCAAAAATAAAATTTTAAGAAAAAGTATTTTGTGAAACTACCGTTTTTCCTAAAATTGAATTTGTGAAGGTAACGCTAAACGGTAGTAAATTCGGCTTGGACAGACCGCTGACATAATATTATTACAGACATAATACATAAATATTATTTTAAGCATATTTACAACTACAAATATAATACTGTGAGGACTTAATTATCAACAATGTCAAACATCATCTATCAAAAGGTACCTCTTGATAGAATCAAGTTAACATGTCTTATATACTAGTGATTTGCTATTTAATATTTGTAGTGGTAGCTAAGCCACATTACTGCTCTTCCAGAATTTTATCTGTGATAGAATTTAATGAAGGAATACCACTTTATGATTCATGCTGTTTATTTATTTATACCAAATTTGATCATATTTTTCTTCATAGCATATATCTCATTATTTTTTTCCTTCTATTTTTTTTTAATAGCTTTTTGCTAATTTTTTTTTTCTTCATTTCTTGTTTATAGCATTTGACACAATTTTTTCCTCATTCATTTTTAGTTATATCATTTTTTATTTCAATATTGTTTATTGACCGGGAGACTTTTTTTACTTCACTAGATTTTTTTTTTTCTTTCTTTGAGCAGTATATTTTTAAGCAATTCAACTATTGAATGCGGACCATCCATCAATGTTGACAAGTTCATATCATGTCCGGAGGTCACCAGTGTGGAGAGAGTTATAATCGACTATATCAACTTTCATTTATCAAAAGGTACCTCAAGGAATCAAGTTAACATGTCTTATTATACTAGTGATTTGGTATATAATATTTTTTGTTGTTACGCCACAATTTCTTCACTTTAATAAACACTTAAAATAATTTTAATAATAAGTGTGACTGCATGATCTCTCTATATATATATTACAAAAAAAGATTAGAAATTTCTAGTAATAATTTTTTTTCTTGTTGCTACTGCTCAAAAATAGCCTATTTGTAAAATATAACTCTTTTACATTCTAATGAAAATTAGGCAAACTTTCAATGTAAGATATGACTAGTGCATTATTTCTCAGATTTAGTGTAAGTCCTTGCTGGCCTAATCTTTACTTTGGATTCGCACATTACGTTATAAGTAAACAAAGATTAAATAGGAAAATTTAAAATCCTTTGTTGTAAAATTCCTTTTATACCTCATTTTAATACCATAAATTCTCTCCTTACAAGAAAATAGGATGATCACAAATACCCAAAATCTGACTGTATACTAATCTTAAAATTATCTTTCTTGTTAATTACTTAATATAAACAAAATTGTTTACCAAAGAAACCAAGCAAATCGTTAGGTTAAAACCAGTGTTATTGGTAAAAATATTACAAAATTCAACCAAATAAACTAGCACTTAACACTAGTAAATATAAGAAGAAAAGTTAATCTAACCATTGAATTTTAAAGAATTAAAAATTTACACAAAATCATTAATCTTAGTTAAAACTATAAGTGACATTTCTGCGAAAAACATGTACTCACTATCCATCTTTAAATTAAGGGGCAGGCTACAAAGAATCTTTTGAATGCGTAATCAAAATCCAAATTATTCGCTTAAATATAAATAAAAGAATAGTAACAATAAATCGCGTTAAAAGTCAGAAGTTGACAAGATTTAAACAATAGTTTCAGTACGTGCCGGTTGCTCGCCACTTTAAATAATATCCTTCAACCGTAAAACTCGTTTTCAGATTCCGTTGCAACTTTTTAAACTCTTTGCGTTGTACAATTTCTATCGCAACAATACTTCCATAAGAGTTTAAAAACGGCAACCGAAAGCTCGCTATCACAGGTTTAAACGTTTCAACTTGTTGAAATCTTTAAAATCTCCCATCCGTCGTGATAAAATACTTCGAAATTTAAAAAGTTTTTTTTTCTTTTTTCATATTGGCAAACTTAATTGTTCTTCGAAGGAAAAACTATAAAGGAAAGGAAAAACTATTTAAAAATTTTTTATAGGTAATGTGATGATAGTTAATAACGGGCATTTTTGAAGCTCTTTGCTCTTTAATGCTTATAGCTCGCTTATTAAATATGTTTGGGTGATTGTTGCTGTTGTAGTTCATTTGCGTCGCACTAGAGCTGCACAATTGGCTATTGGCGACGGTCTGGGAAACATCCCTGAGGATGATCCGAAGACATGACATCGCAATTTTGATCCTCTGCAGAGGGGATGACACCCCTGCTTCGGTAGCCCGACGACCTGCACGTGAAGTTGAGCATTTTTCTGTAGAACAATTTAGCGAGGACGAATACCGTACACCATTGGTCACTACGCAGACTAATCCTAGTTTTCACTCACCCGCACACTGACCGCAGCCAGTGATGCTTGACTTCGGTGATCTGCTGGGAACCGTGTCTTAACGGTCAGTACACTGTGGGACCTGTTAGGGTGAAGTAAATGGTTGATACAGTAGATGGAAAACCTTTAAGATTTGAATAAAAGATTGAAGTTTAAGTTCATGACAAGCGTCCATGAGTGATGAGAAGAACAGGACAGAGGGTCAAGATTTTACCTTCTTTGTTACTAGCAAAGGAATGAAGGTGGCAACCCAAAGTCGAGAGTATGTGTCATGTATGACTGAACTATATGAAGTAAGTGATAGGAGCGTTAGCCACAGAAATTTTTTACGATACATTTCAGTATATATTAAGCTTTTTCAGCGTAGATGCTCGTTTTTGTTGAAAATAATGACAAGCTGAGATTAGATGAAAAAATTAATTCCTAGAATACGGATATGGAATGTCCATGTAATTGTTTCTCCTTGAAAAAGAAGGGTGGGCCGAGGATTTTCCCATGTTGGAGGAAGGTTAGATACCATTCCGCTAGCCACTATTAGAGACTTAGTAAAGTTAACTGTAATATCTGAAGTAGAGACTGTAGGAATTAATAAGAAAAAAACAGGAATTAATAAGGTAGGTAGGTAGATATTTTATTTACGTCGCACTAGAGCTGCACAATGGGTTATTTGCCAAAAGTCAGAGAAACATCAGTGAGGATGATCCGAATACACCATCGCAATTTTGATCCTCTGCAAAGGGAATGACAGGAATTAATACGAAAAAAATGTCGTCTGCATTCACAAAACAGATGACAGTGTCTGGAAGAATATCGAAAATATCATACAGGTAAATTATGAAAAGAAGAGGCGATAGTTCTATTCGCAACTCTCGAATACTCCATTTGGGGAGAGACCGGTTTCATGCCTTTAGCCCTTCTCCCTTCCCTCTCCTCCTCTTTTCAGTTGTATAGGAATATACTACGATATTTTCCCTTTTCTTAATATTTTTCCTTTTTATTTAATAAAAATATTTTTTTAAATTTCCGTGATACTTTTCTTTGGAACTAATTGAAATCTATATGAAATTCACGAGAGTAACTAACGTACTTTCTTCCTCTATGACTTTCCGCACGCTAATGAGGAAAGCATGTGAAGTGTTGCCAAAGGTAGAGAGTTCTGCTCTACGCCACCTGCAGCCCATTTCGATCACCAATTGTGGTGTAGGAGTTTGTAGGCTAATTCATCTGACCATGGTCAGATGAATTGGACATGGTCATAGGCTTGGGCGATATCCTTACCGTGGATATCGCTCAATCACCTTGCGAAAAGGCGATTGAGCATATCACCTTGCAAAAACGTGATTCACTTTGGCAAATCGAGTACGTTATATCGTTGAGAGGAGGCTGTCACATCCGCGACGTGGAAAAAATTCATGGAGGTATGGGTGAGAGTTTTGCCGTTCAAGATGAGCTACTAGGTGTTTAAGAATGATGCGCTGCATTTTTTGCATAGAGCACTTGTGAGAGATATTGATCTGTAGGACGTGATTTGATGGCGTTGCCCCCAGGATTTTGAGAGTAGAAGCACAATTGAAGATTTTCACTCCACGGGAGGTGTTCCTGATGTCCTGGAGTTATTCATTAAGGAAAGCAGAGTGTTCAAGGAGTATCCATCGAGTCCCTTTAACATACGAGCCGAAATTTGATCAGGGATTTGACCTGAGCAGTAGGGGTCTGAAGGTCAGAAAATAGAAAAGTTTCAGAGAGAGATTCACTCGTGGAAACAAATGCACAAACGGGTAGCTGCACAGGATGGCGTGGCATGAAAAACGATTTGGCCACGTTGATGATTTGAAAAAAAAGTAATGATGCTTCACTCCGCCGACTTCTCACGTTAAATGTACGTGGATTGAGCTGAAGAGCATGTTCAAAAGCACGTGGATGGGTCACCAAGTGTGGTAAATTAAGTTTTTATCAACATTAAAAACAAATTGCCAACTAAAACTTAAGGAATAATTTTAATTTGAACATTATTAAAATTACAAATAAATACAGCAAAAGTTTAATGAAATTAAGGTTGTCGAAGAGCCGTGCATCACCGACCAGTGCACGAGGTAAAACTGGGAGTAGTGTCGGTTGCTGGCAGAAAACTGGTTTTTAATGCGTCACTCCAAGTTGAAGTGAAAGTGCCTTTTCCTATCAGGTAAGGTGAAATTATAGGAGCAGGGCATCGCCGCAGAGATAGAAGAGATATAGGGACCACCAGGAGGGAAATTCGTCTTTGGAAATCTTTGCCAGCTGCTATTCACGTGTAGAGCACTAATGCAAGTAGATGTAAATTCTGCCATTGTTTTGCTATCACTACTTTTCAAAGTGTCGTTGACTTTGGTATAAAATGGAACTCTAATGCACACGCGTTCGCGAGCAGATCTGGTTTTGTTGAGACACTAGTCTGTCTTTATAGGGATCCCTATCGAAGATGCCCATCTTCGAAGATGATCGCTATCAAAGCAATACGCATAAACCTCATGGGAGCAGAGCAGATATATATCTGGGGACATCAGAGTGATGTCCAGCAACGATGATAGATGATTTTGTCCGAAATGTGTAGGGGACGATGAATTGAGAAGGCAAAGGTCTACCGATGCTATGAAATCCAGGTGATAATGATGGCAAATCGGAGAAACTCCCTAGGGCGCCGATGATTTCAATCACCGACAATACGAAAAGGAGTTGAGAGATTATTTACAATATTTTGTAACCAATTCAAGCCCAGTGTACCTGAAGGAGAGTAAAGATTGACTATTGCAAGATTGGTGCCTTGAATGTTGATACAGATAGACAGTCAGACACTCGTGATAGGGGTCTGGTAGGTAGGAGATGATGGATTCGGTTCTTTGAATGGATATCGGTGGTCAATCGCAGTAAGCAGTCCACCGCCACATCGAATCTCGGTCTCTCTGTCATTCATCGCAGGTAGATCGTGGCATTTGTCGATTCAGAAATCAATCAGGTTTGACACACACTCGAGTGTGTGTCACGATCGTGACGTCGCTTACTAGTATCCAATTAAATCAACCTTAATGTTATTATTAAGCATAATTGCATGATTAAAAATTTTGATTTGAATGTCTTGAAAATTTAATAAGTTTCTAGCAATTTTGAAAACTTTGAAAGGTAAGGGGTTTTTCACAGATTGAATTGTTTGCTATTAAACAAGATTTATATGGGACCACACCCAATTAAATTATGTTTATTTTCTAATACCATCATAATTTGTTGTCCGGACCTTCATTTTAGGGTATCATCATTTGTTGTGAAATTTTGCTGCGCCCCCTGCTCGCTAACGCTCGCACACCCCCGAAAATTGCTACGCAATCTTATATGGTTTGCTTCGCATACCAAGCTCGTTTCGCTCGCTACTAGCTTAGGTACATTCAAATACACAAAATTCTAAGAATTCAAAACAATCATTAAAATCCATATAACAACTTTCTTTTTTAAAAAAATTACATTTTTTTAGTAAATACTAAGTCATTAAAATAAATTTGAATTCAAATAAAGACTCATTGACTGAGGCAAATTTTTTAATGAATAACTAATAACAATAATAAAAAAAAATAAATTCGTGATATAAATCAAAAATCGTCAAATAAATTCGTAATATATAAATTCGTGAAAAAAAGCGCTTTCGACAAAATACTAAAATAGAGATCTATCGACAAAGACTACTCACTTTTGCCTAGCTTAATAGTATGAGATTGACGCAGCTAGATTGTTATTTAAGTTTCCGTTTTTAAAAGCGCTATATGTTGAGCCACCTCAGCTAGATTTGGCATGTGACATTTTTAGCGGCAATCATTGGTCGATTTTCTAGCGTTGCCATTCGGGGAGTTGTAATGAGGCTTTTTTTGTCGACGTGCAAGAGAAATACATATATATAGATGATACAAAATGAAATTTTTGGAAAAAACCCTTATTATATAGAGCTTTCTATAAGAAAGTACAAAAGCTACCTAATAATTTACTTAAAACTTTTTTCATTTTTAAGACTCAGATAGCAAAATAAGGTTTATTGTCACACAGCAAAAACCTTTTCATATAAACCTAAAAAGGTTTTTAATACGGTTTAAGTGTAAACCTTCTAACCTTAAAACGAAATCTGTGACAATCTGCTCTATTCTACGCACATTACCCTAATCCAAAACCTTGGAAATCCTTTAATAAAGCTAGTATCAAAATGAAAATCTTAAATCTAGGTCATTAAAAGGTTTCTTTTCGAAAAGTCTTGCATGCTCAGCTAAAGTCCACCTTGTCATGAAATTTTAATGGACTATGCAAATTTGATCTCATCGCGAATGTGACGTCATCTAAAATGTTATTTTGGACCTAAGTGACAATACTTTTTAAAAAAAGCTTTAAAAAATAGCTTTTAATCCTTTCAGGATGAAAGGTTTGAAACTGCAATATTTTTGCGTTATTGAAAAAAGGTTTTCAGTACAAACATTTTCGTGACAATTAAAAGAAAATTCCGACACAAGGTTGTTGTAAGGTTACATGCTTTCTGGGGATATTCAAATCAGATTTTTTTTTTTTTTTAAA